TAGAATAATATTATGTTATATTATTATTTTTAATTTTTGAATTTTTAGTAATAATAAACATGTTATTTTTGAAAAAATAAATTTATAAAACACACACACACAAATTTAGCGTTTACTTTATTATTACTTACCACGATATATTTTATGGTATTCGAAGGGTATCTTACGAATTTTCCGCTACGCACAAATACATTTTTTTATTTCACCGTGTACAAGACGATTCTGCATCACTTTGACAGTATCGTAACCTATCATAACCGCTGACTATAGGGTGTTTAGAGATGGTGGTCTGCTCTGTCAGAATTTTTGCGCGTTCCGAAAACCATCGAATTAAAAAGTGTTGTAACCTTTTATTGACTGACTATGGGTGCGGTCCACTTGGCGCTACAAATGCTTCGAATCTAAAGTCACTAGATTTATAAAGTACCGCAATTCATAAGACCAATGTATAAGGATTTGGAGCAAAAATGGCGTCGAAACGTGTAAGTATTACTCATTTTCATAACTTATCTACACATTAAGTGTAATGTATTTAATATCTTTATTTATAAAACACATTCATACTCATATGCATGTTTTGAATGAACAGCATGTTGGAGCCAAAATGGCGGAATGATTGTGGTACTTTATAAATCTAGTGACTTTATTCGTTTGGAGCGTTGTTTTAACCGGTCCATATGGCGCTTCAAATGTGTCTCAACAGCACGTATGACGTCATTAAGCCCGGATCCTCATACGGGCGCTTTGACACCGAACGCTTATTGGTGAAAAACGGGCGATGGGGGTAAATTTTACCCCCACAACCGACTTTTCACCAATCAGTGCTCTGTGTCAAAGCGCCAGTGTCTGTATGAGGATCCGGGCTATGAATCGATTATGCCTTAAGGCCGTTCTACAATAAGTTGCAAACACGCCATTGCCAGTTGAGGAGTGACAAGTTACCAGTCGCAAGCTGTAAATCATTGCAACACCTAATCCATATTTGGACATCGAAAGTTGCGATTTGTATAGAAACAGCCAATCAGAAAGTAGAACGTTCGTCGTTATTTGCTGTAGCCGAAAAATTGAAGAGAATATATCAAGCAGGTTATGTGATAGATATTCGAGATGTTCTCGAAATGAAAATGAAATAAATCAAACACCACCGATATATCACAACAACTTTCATTTCACTCTTCGCGCTTTTCGAACACAATGGCTGCGTTCAGCAGAGAAAGCAGTTTTGCAACTGTTGTAAAATTCTTCAATATGATTGGTTTATACAGTTAGATCCAATGAGGAACTAAGGGCAAGACCAATCATATTGAAGAATTTCACAACAGTTGCAAAGCTGCTTTCTCTGCTGAACGCAGCCAATATTTGATTGGCTAAGATTAGAGACCCTCTAATCAGAGTCGCGACACGAGAACGGCCAATTTTGATTGGTTCGTCATTTTTCAGCAATTTCCGCCAATATTCGAATGTCAATATTGGTTGCGTTCGGGAACGTCGCTCGGATGCCTCCGATGCCTCGGATTCATCATCTGTCCTTGTTTTACATTTAATGTTAAACAAGGATAGATGATGAATCCGAGGCATCGGAGGCATCCGAGCGACGTTCCCGAACGCAGCCATTGTAGGAATAGGCGATGTGCGTATCGATACGTTAAAAATCGTTTGCAAATTAATCTTTTTTGTAAAGAATCAATTTTTCCAACCAAAACAAGCATAGAATGACAGAAATAGCGTTAATAGCATCTCCCTGAACGCACATTTTATCCAACATTTGTCGTCCATAATGCTCGACGTTCAACATCACACGGAAATATTTTCATTATGTAGCCTTTGGCTGCAGAATTATTGCAAAATGGGGCTACACACCCAACCATTTTGCAATAATTTTTAATAATGTTCTAAAAGTCGTACTATAGAAAGACGTATCTTACGGGATCATGACTCACACAAGAACTATGAAGGTTAGAAAGAGACACAACATATTCCTCTCTCTTTCTTGTGATTTTGCTGAAACTAGAGACTTTTAATATAAAGAGACAGTAAAAGAGTGTCACTAACTAGAGTCTCCATTCGTCGTGTCGCGACTCTGAGTAGAGGGTCTCTAGTCTCAAGCGCTGTGAGTGACTCGTGTCCAATTGAGCCGTGTCCAACTGGATGCCACCCATTCAGAGTAGTGCATTGATTATCATTGATTCGGGGCAGTGCGAGAGTCAAGTTACTAGGGGATGGTATTCATAGTCCATTCTTATTTCAAGATTATCTTAAGTAATGTCTTAAGACGTTAATGCAGCCCTCTCGTGACTTCTTAAGATCGTACTTAAGACGATCTTGAATATAAGATCTGACTATGAATACCGGCCTAGGAGCACTGGATCCGAATCAAGGCAAGTAAAACCACACTCGGATCGCATACACCACACCGTTTCGGCACTAGTGCAAAAGTTACTAGCCACTGGCACCGAGCAACATCGAGTGAGTTCACACAGGGTGATGTCCCATGCAGCGGATCGTGCGTAAGCGGATTCGCGTATCGCCAATCACAGAATTAGGCGTCGTCTACAATACACGGAGTAAGAA